TTGCCCCCCCCCCCTTCCCCCGCAGTTTCATGAGGTCTAGAGAGAACCTCAGCTTGGAGTGCGAAATCTTCGAGGAGATCGGATAACAGCCTCATGAGTAGAGGATAAGGGGATTTTCGTCACAAGCGATTGAATAAGGTATGCAAAATAATAAAAAAAAATGACACTGGCCAGAGATACCGCAGTGGCGTTAGTCACTTGGCCTCTTGAAACATTATAGCGCCGCTAGGGAGTAGTGAACCACTTACGTAATAACCGCTGAACATGCCGCACGCATTATGTAACTGAAAGTTGTGTTGGATCCTTTCATCCTGTAGTGGCGAACTCCTTGCAGTGCAGTCGGAAATTGAAACTTTCGTGATACAGTGTTTTTGACGCGTTTGAATGTAATAAAAAACTAACCCTCCTCCTCTGAGCGCTGTACCTGATTCTTCCGTTCAGTCTCAACTTCAGGAAAGCAGGTAGGTGCGGCTGTCGTTCATATCTGGACGATTTTCTGCCCATACAACAAAAATACTAAAAATTTGAATGCATAAACCGCGTTATGCGACTTAAAACAACTCTTATGCAACATTAGAGACTTCGGACCAATATGATTTAAATATTGTAGTATTAAAAATATTTATTATTATTCTGCTGCAAATCCCGTAAATGCCGGAATGCAGAGACTTCGAACCAATATGATTTAAATATTGTAGTATTAAAAATATTTATTATTATTCTGCTGCAAATCCCGTAAATGCCGGCATAGACTTGCGAGTACTTAACAAAACATTTTTTCGCATGGTAAGTAAGTATTGAATGCATTAATTTTGATGTTCATTTAATTATATTTGTTTATCATTATCATTATGTACTTACCACTGCCAGTTATCTTCGATTTATTCATATGAAAATAATTAGGCGACTTTTTAATTTAATTTTTTAAAATTAAGTTTAGTGTGTAGTTCCGAGTCAATAGTGTTTTCCTGGGCGTACTGTTCATTGAGATCTACAATCATACATTTTTTTTTTACTGTGCATATGAGTGCATGGGTATACTACATACATAAAAACCGCTTTTATAGCGCTCTCTGTTGCTCTGCGACACCCAGCCGCCAAAGCCCTCTATCCTCCCAAAGCCATTCAAGGAGTTGGCGGCGCCCTCATACATATACTAAAACCCTAAAAGTTGCCTTAAATACAAAACCTTCAAAATGTAAAGCGTCCAACACACGTTCAACTTCCACGTGCAACTCTATGCAGCTTTCGTTATACAAGTAAATTCTCTCAAAATCGAGTAGTAGGTGGTTGAAACGTAAAGTTGTGTTGTTGAATCAAACTTTTCATCGATATTCCATCTATTCCTCTCTTATGAGACAAAGCTGCGTCATGCTTGGATCTTATTTCTGTGATTTCTTTTCGCAACTAGGAAAAACGTTCTTAACGTTTGCAGGTAGAAAAATAAAATTTAAATAAATACAATACAATAAAAAAGGCGTGTCAAGTTCATTTAGAAATTAAGGCGGAACCGTACGCCTGTGCCTTCAACCTCCATCCACCACCTTCCGATTACTATAGCAGCCAACGGGAGTATAAAACGCCTTCATGCGACTATTCTTGCTCGTGAGATGTCTGTGTTGCCTAGAGAAAAATTGAGAACGCTTTTGTCGTCCTCGTTTCTTTAGCAAAGTTTATGACCGCTGCGCGCTGTGGCCGATGCGACGAGCGGCGCCATATGCAGTGTGTTTTGAGAAGTCACCGGAAAAATGTTGCTCAGTGGGCTGATTATTAAAACTAATAGACAAAGCTATAAACAAAGGAGACAAAGGGAAAATGGAGCTATCCTATTGGTTGAAACGAGTGGTTGTTGTATACTGACGGAGAGAATGATGGACTAACTATAGAGTCCCTCGTGAGTCACCGTTAGTTAGTCTATTGCTTACCTCCTTTGTCGATCGCAACCACCCATTCCCACCCATAGAATCGCTCCATTTCCTCTCCGTTCATAGCTTTGTCTATCAATTTCAGAAATAAACCCGAAAATGAGGAAAGATACATCGAAGAAAAAGGGTGGCAAAATCTGCAGGTGATCATTCAGAGTCATACTTAAAAAGTATGGCCCAAACACCTAAGTTCCAGGGATTTTTTTTAATGCACGATTTACTTCAGAGGTAGAAATGATCAACATGTTGAAGTGATAGAGGAAACTTTGAGCTGACGTCTATGGAGCAATCGTGAGACATTGATCTACGTCGTTTTGGTAGGGTTTGATCAGAATCCCTGCCGATTCAAAACATAATTAAAAGGGGAATACGAGTATATAACAGGAATCCTGACTTTTAAACATTGTTGACATGGTGAAGGTGCAGTATAATGAACAACACGAGTAGAGAATAAACATCTTACGAAGCCTCGATATAAAAGCACAAAATGATTTTCTGATGTTTTTTTTCTTCCTGGGGCTCGTGCATGATTTCAAAATTCTGAATCGTGAACATTTTGATACATCAACAAAAAAGCGACTAATCGGAATAAATTAGTTAACCTCTGTAAGTCGCGTCTTGTAAGTTGTAACATTTAGTCATTCTTTTTAATTTCTCACAGTTACCTCCGCTTTCGACAAGACACGTGTGGTGAATCGATTCTTCAAATCTGCAGGGGAGATTAGATTGTGAAGCTCTACAACCAAAGTAATATGATACTTATTCGAAATTTGGGCTCTCGAGAGGTAAATGATACCCACTCAAAGTTTCTGTTCGAAACTATGAGTGATTAAAAACTGAACGTACGATTTTCATGGTTGAATGGGGCTAGGGAAAGCACGCGAGTTTTCAACGGTCAATCAAACAAGTAAAAGCAGCCTGTGCGCCTTCAACTTTTTGCTTATGCAACAGATTGGTCTACTGAGTAGGAATAGTTGCATCTCTCAGGCGTTACCATCAACACTGCATCCGCGTCATTGCGCGCCTCGCCGCCGCACAGTGGATCGAGTCAATAGGAAAGGTCGGACAAAATTTAGAAACTTTAAACGCTTATAACCCGTTTATACAAAACTTTGAGGTTCTAAAGGTGGTTCCATTGGTTTTCTCGTAAAATTATCTTCTCGGAGCGCCCCTTAAAATTTAAAATGTGACGAAATAAACATCAAAATTTGCAGTTTTAGTCAAAAATTTTATGTCCGACGTCTCTAATTAACTCGATCCACCGTGCGTTGCGGCGAGGAACCGAGCGAACATACTCACCACCACCACCACCACCCCCCCCCTCCCTAGTAAGTTTACAAATTTTTTGTAAGCCAATGGATGCGGCTTAAAACACTACTTTTAATGAATTTCTAATTGGATTTTTTTCCCCCGCCACACAGTGGATTGAGTCAATTAGAGAGGTCGGACATGAAATATTTTACTAAAACGGCAAATTTTGATGTTTATAACGACACATTTAAAATTTGAAGGGGTGCTACTGAAAGGAAATTTCACGAGAAAACCAGTGAAACCGCTTTCAGAATTTCGAAGTCTTGTATAAACGGAGTTATGAGCGTTTAAAGTTTCCACATTGCGTCCGACCTTTCCCATTAACTCGATCCACTGTGCGCCAACGGAAAATCTCATTTCATAATGAAACTGTACTTCCTGATGTTTTCAGAGATGTCAATGTCTTCAAAATCGTCTCAATTCTTGAGAAAATTTGCATCAAAAGAAACGAAGAGATCAATTTCAATGACATGTTCACTTGCTTCTGAAAGGCAATTTTCTCTGAATGGAGTCTTTCCACCCTTACCGACACCTTTTGATCAGAACGAAAATGTAGATTTTGATGCGTTACGAAAAAACCTGTCACTATGGGAAAAAATCCCATTCAAAGGTGAGAAAATTTAAAGTATTTTAATATGATAAATGAGTGAAAGAGTGATACAAATGAGACTTTAAGACAAGGAGAGTGCACTTGAAAAATTTTTTGCTCTAAATAAAAATCCATATTAGAACTTTTGAAAATTCAGATTAGAAATGTAAAGCGCTCATCATAAATTTACCAGTATTTCTTTGAAAATAAGGTATTTTCTCTTTCCTCCTCTTTTCGGTGGTGTGGCGTATTACTTAGTCAAACCGAGGATTGGATTTCACGATCATAATACGTTTTTTGAGAATCATCTGAGAATGATGACGGGCCTAGATGACCATTCGCCCTGCCATTACAATGTGGTTATTTAGTTGTGAACATACCCTGGTAAAAATTGGCAGTAGGATCTTCCTGGTAAAAATTGGCAGTAGAATCTGCGTTCCAAAATACCATAAACCTACAGCCGGCTGTAAGATTTCCAATAGCTTCTATAGTCGGCAACACAATTTCTTATAGCCTTTTATAGCCGATGGCGATTAAGCAACAGCCTGGCGATAAAGTGTATGCTAAACGTTACTAATTACGGATGCCAGGACTTGCTAGTTTATGGACTGCCGCTCTCTTTTTGGGCAGTAGTATCTTGATTTATTTTGCGAGGAAAGTTCCGTTTTTTTGAAGGATGCCTGCCATTCCTAATATGTTGGAGCGCCTTCAATTTCGTATGATACTGTGCAATACCTCTGGTGTGAAATAGTTGCTTCAAGCGCCGTGGTATGCTGCGGCGCGGCGCGGCGGGTGGGCAGCCAGCTCGAAACGCGCATTGGCGCCTACAAACCTAACAGGGATACTTCACGCATTGCGCAATGCGTGAAGTATCCCTGTTAGGTTTGTAGGCGCCAGTGCGCCGCCACTCCGCTTTGTGCTGGCTCTAATATTTAATCTCGTGGTATAGCCGATGGCGATGAAGCTACAACCAGGCGATAGGAACTAGAATTATATAGCCCGGCTATATCGCTTCGCACTATGATTTTCTTCGCTTTCTACAGCCAGTTATATGATTTTCTATCGCCTTCTATAGCCGGCTATTAAAATTCCTGCGGTATTTTGAAACGCAGCTCCTATTGCAAATTTTTACCAGGGTAATTTGTACCAGGGGTATCAAGACGTCTCACACAAATAACCCCTAAACTTTTAAACAAAATATGAAAGCGACAAGCATCTCATCACAAAGTGATACCTATCTACTACAATGCTTTCTAATTTTTTCCTCAGGTTACATGGTCGGAGGCTCAAACAGTGAGCTTCCATTCGTGAGCCCTGCCGAGAGATTGTCGATAGTTAAAGAAGCGCGGAAAGTTATCTCAGATGACAAGCTTCTCATTGGAGGCTCCACATGTGAATGTAAGGACACTCTTGGTTTTGTTTTCTGGTTATTTTTTCAAAGATATTAAGGGGCTGTTTTTTTAAATTACGTAACGCTTTGGGGGCTGGGTGGGGGTGGGTCTCCCGTATAATTTTGTGGCCGAGCATGAAGAGGGGTTTCAAGCTCAGTGTTAACACGCAACAGTGGATCTCAACTTTTTCCCCTTTTCTCTTCAAGTTTTACATGCTGGTTTATTTTAAAAGTCTTATTGTTTCTTGTCTCTTCAAACAAAATGCCTTCTAATTTACAGAATGCTCTCCCGTTTTTTCAGTGAGATTTCTGACGAGTTGTGTTTGTAAAAGGGGGGAGAGGGTCGAGGCAAATATTCCTTAATTATTTTGGGGTGTCTAGACCCGCTTTAAAATCGCGTTAAAAGGGGTGGGTGTCAAAAAATCCGAAAAATCGCGTTGCGTAATTTAGGGACATTCTTGCCATATGAATTTTTATGTTGAGTCTTACTAACTCAGGCAGGCCTTTCAAGTCGTAGGATTCCTCAATATACTTTTCACTGTTTTTCTCCTATAAAAGAAGCCTGGACTTCATGGAGCCTACAAAGCAGATCCTATGATGGATTGCCAAAGCTCTTTAAACTGATGATAATGAAAATAGTACATGTAAAATCTAAACCGCCTTATTTGATAAATTCCTACATTTTTTCAACGATTCTCGGAAGTTACGAAAATAGGAACGCCATTTTAGCCGAATCTTGGCATAGACGGCATGGCGCGGCGGCGCAAGTAAGTGGCTACGGGACCTGCTTCTCCTCTCCAGAAAATGTTGCAAGAAAGAAAAGCTAAATGACTTGAGCTATCACTTTTGTCTCTGTTTCATATGCAGCAACAAAGGCTACTTGTGAGCTGAGTGAGGCCATGGCAAAAGAGGGCGCAGATGGAGTCCTAGTTTTGTTGCCATTCTACTTTAAATCCAGAATGAATGTGAGTTTAATGCCTTACCTACTTATCTCAAGTATTTTTAATTTTTTTCGCAACCTGCTACATTGCACCTGCCCTATTGAGGGGCACAGATTGCAATAAATTGCAATTTTAGGGTAAAAGTCTTGCTAGGTACCTGCATCTGAGTGTTGTGTATGTTAATAGAAATCTACTGATTGAAGGAACACTTCTTATTGAAATTTATTTAAATAAAATTATGGATGAATTAAAGTTCTTCCACTGCAATGCAAACTATCCTTCTTTCCGACGCATGGAAATCATCTTGCTGATTTCTTAAAATCGCCACTTACTGACCAAATCGTATAGAAATATTGCAATCTTACGGTAAAAAATTGCAATTTTTTCCATTGTATCGCAATTTTATTTCAATATTATCATTGCACTGTGCTACCTGGGCGAGGAATTTGCGGGATAGAGGTTGGTAAACATTTCAAACATTTTTCATAATGAGATTTTTTTTCTGACAGGAAGTTGCAATCTTAGATCATTACACAACAGTGGCAGACAAGAGTCCTGTACCAGTGGTTATCTACAACATGCCAATCGTGACAGGAATAGATATCCCGATCTCCGTTTTGACTAAACTATCATCACATCCCAATATCTTGGGGGTGAAAGATGGTGATGTGAGTATTGATTTATCTGTATTTTACATTTCTCCAGTGATCATTTGCATTCGTAAAATGTATTTCGTCAATTAATCACCGAATGGGAGAAGCCATCGACACATTAGACTTGACTAAAAGATTTTAGCAGATCTTTTTAAACGGTCTTTGGTAATATTTATGAGCGATCGCGTTTCCGAATTTTTACGATTTTATTAGAGATAAAATTACAAATTGGAAAATATCCCAATAAAGTTGCAATGGTAGTACATATTTCGGTTGTGCTTGGAACCGAAACCTGTGCAGTCTTGTAGGCGCTATGCGTTTCACGCCAACCGCTAATGACCGCACTGTTTTTGACGCAATGCGTGAAGTATTCATGCAGTCTTGTAGGCGCTAATATGTGTTAGGTACATGCCGACCGCCGCGCCGTGCCGAAGGCTTCTGCTTTTTATCTCAAGTCCTTGTTGCTCTCTGCGCCGCACTGCTCTAAGCCAAAGTTTGGTTTGGTTTCTCTCTTAACTCGACTAATTAAAGGTACTGTCTCTTGTGTCGCCGAAAGACGACAAAATTAGAAATTACTATACTCTCAGGAAACGAGAGATTTTGTCGCTTCTTTTCGTTTGTAATTTTTTTCTGAATCCGATTTTTTTATACACCTACATTTAAAAAAATTGCAAAATTTGCCGCCTCCGCCTAAATTTGCCGCCCGGCCCATGTGGCCACCCTCTAAATCCGGCCCTGGTGCTGAAATTATCTCAACCGCGGATGTTTAATGGGATACAGTTACCAAATATAATGTTGCACGTTGCCTATCCTCTCTGTTTTGGGCGCAGGTTTCACCTGAAATCGTCACCTTCCGGCCAAAGCATCACAAGCGCCATGAAACGTTTGAAAGTTTCCGCCGCCATTTTATTTTTTTTACAAAGAAACTCTTGGTTGAATCTGTTTGAAAATTTCACTGAATTTTATCGGCAGCACAAAAATAAAATCATGCAGTGAAATTTTCGGACAGCTTCAGCCAACAATTTCTCTATAAAAAAATAAAATTGCGGCGGACAGTTTTGAACGTCGCATGGCGCTTGTAATACTTTGGCCGGAAGGTGATGAAAGAATCATTGCAACAGCAGAATCTGACAAATGTTGGGTTAGAATTTCAACTTTATGGCAACTCTAGAGACCCCTTCAGCCGCTACGCTGCCGTTCTGGACAGACTTCATACATACATTTTACAGTAGCCAGATTCCGTTTAACAATACTTTTTATCAATAGAAAAGTTTAGAATAGATGCCTTTCTTTGAAATTTACAGGAAGAGGGGCGAGAATAAATGTTCCAACTCAGTTTGTTTTAAATCATTTGCATCTTTCATTAGAAAATCAATTTCTGAAAAACTTTCCGTCGCAGCTATTTCAAATCAGAAACACTAGGTGTATTTATCTGTCAAAGGGGTTCATTACAACTAAATAATTTAGGGAGATAAAACCAATTTTTCAAGATTTTTGGTAACATGGTGATGTAATAGCACATAGGAGTTAAATGATATCGAAAAAAGCTTACAAGTTTTCGTGTGTTCCTTGCCGAGACTGCGCAGAGTTGGCAAAACAACCGCGCGCAACTATTCGTGCTCCCAAGTCGCTTATGTTGCCATCGCACAAATTGAAGGCGAACTCGACCGCATGAGAGACGCGCACAACGGGGAAACAATTAACGTGTGTTCCTTGCCAGGAATATGTGCAGAAAAGACTTTGAATGGTTAATGGGGCGCTAAATAGTTTTAGAGATGCTTAAAAAGGATATTTAACTTTTGTACCTACAATACCTGCAATACATGATAAGTTTAAAATGGTTTCAGGTTGTGAAACTTGCTGGAATAAAGCTGGCGACAGAGGGCCAAAAATTTGAAATTCTTGCAGGTTCTGCAGGGTATTTACTTCCAGGGATTTTAGCAGGTAAGAACATGCGTCATTCAGGAGAATCCATTGAAATATTCTGCGAAGTATTAAGGATTAAGGTAGATCTAATATGTAAATTTTTGTGGTTTCATGGTTATAGCAGATCGTATTTCTTATGAAACATGACACAAAAATACAAGATGGAGATTTTGTCGAATTCACATTGCTCCCTCTCATTAAACAGCTGCATGACGTCTCCCGGTCTCCCCTCCCCTCCCCTATTTTACGGTAAAAGTGGGCCAAACTGAGTTAAGACTGCTTTATACGAAACAAATCACTCTTGTGCTAACTTTGGAGTTGGACTCCTTGAATGCCAAGGGGGGCCCCTCTCGGGGGAGTGGGCTCCTTGAATGTCAGGTGGAGCACCCCTGGAGACTGGGCTTATTTTAGTCCAGATGGGGCACCCCAAGAGGTTTTGTTCTAAAAAAAAACACGTATCACAATGCCGACATTCGTACTCTGTTGCCTGGGCCGATGAATTGCCTTCAATTAGCCGGCTATGCAAAATGACTGTCGTGACGCACGAATAGTAGTATCAGAATTTCTCATTAAGATTACACAGTTGGTTGAAGGCGCTCTCCTGTATCGTATCTGAGTGGCCCTGTGCAACGATGTTGACCAAAAATGTTCAGAATTTTGGAGTCTTCAATCGAGCCGCATTTTTGAATAATGCCCGACGAACATTATTTTTCGTTCTAAAATTTTTTTTAGTTTTTAATTTAGTTAATTTCAGTTCTTAGTGCCGAAAACGCATATCTCGGCATTTCTGCCGTATTTTCTAACAGTTCGAGAAATGCTAAAGTCCTGATGGAGTCTGAAAAAGCATCTTATTCTTGATATCCTCATGAATTATTACTCTTCTACTAACAATAAAGAGGAATTTAGACAGTTTTTTTTATTCTCCTGGAAAATCGTGTTTTCCGAGATACGCACTGCTGCACTTCCACCATCGATATGTAAGTAATTTAAAGATTTTTTCATGTAGGATGTGTTGGAGGAATAAACGGCCTTGCGGTTGTTTTCGGGGAAGCTGTTTGCCAACTACACCAACTGGCTATGTCTAGACAGTATGAAAAAGCAATAGAATTGCAGATGAAGCTAATTCAACCGGACTTGATGGTGAGGAAGTCTTCCTTTAGTTACCTAAAGAAAGAGGAATGTCACACTTCATTACTGAGTATAACTGCTTTCCTTGGACTAAGTTGTCATTTTACTGTAGCTGAAATTCGCCTCTATCTCATCGCAGCATTCTCACCATCAAATATCAATATTGGTGAGAAACTTCCTACCAATAAAAAAAGAGAAAAAATCTAATGAAGCTCGCTACATGGTGACAAAAGCAGCGTTTACATTGCGCATTAACTGTCATACCGAGCCACAGTCACCTCGAATATTGCCTTCAAAGACTTAGATAGGCAACTTAAAAGCAGCAGCAATACAATGATGACTGCAGTACTTAGATCGCTATTTGGATGCCGTGGCCAGTTCTGTGATGAAGACTTGTGACTCGCAGTGTTACCAGATGAAGCTGACAAATCAGCACTTTTCCCCATTGGAACATATTGCAAAAGCTGGCAACTTTGCTCGTCATTGTTGAAACTTGTTGTATGAATTATAATGAATAATAATATTTTTTTTCCAGTTAATGCGGGAATATGGAGTTCCTGGATTAAAAGCAGCTATGGATATTCTAGGATATTACGGAGGACCCCCAAGAAAACCTCTACAACCCATAAAAGAGGCTGACCATGGAAGAATAAGGGAATGTCTCATAAAGTCAGGATTCTTCAAATTATAGAGCAAAAATGGAAAATCGCCAAGTTACAGCTCAAGAAAATTTAGAGCAGAGTGTTCTTCCTTTTTTTGGCCCTCATATCTACATCAAGAGGAAAAAATTGTTTGAGCTGTGGTCCAACATTCAATCCACAATATTCTTGGTAGCTACTTGCTTTCCACCCGGTTCATTACATTTATGATGGACATTCTAATATTTGATACCACTCTAACTTTGTTGCTATGGGCTGAAGGGTGTGACATGAATACATGAGCTCCTACATGAATATGGGAATATTTTATCTGATAAAAGATCAGCCAAGAATGAAATCATTTGAGTTCCCCACTGGTATTGAAAGTACGACACAACTGAGCAAGAAAGAAAATGAGCTTAGCTGCAAAAAAAGGTGAATTAACTTGTTTGACCTTTAAAACGATTTTCAGGTGATATGATGAATGAGTATTGAATTAGTCCCTCAAGTTGTTGACACTGACTGGATAGATTGTTAGGTTACTAGCCTGTCAGCTACTGAGGTACATTAAGGTCAGATGATTATACTTGCTGTAAATATCTTTAAGAATAAAAGTTTGTCCATTCAGTAAAGTATAATTGTTTCATTTTTCTTTACAGTTTTATGCTCAATGCACGGATAAGTTTCAGTTCAATATTTCATGGTGCTGACATAAGTTATAGGATAGAATTAATTCACTTAAAAAACAATTGCACTTTGTACACATACTGTTGTTCTACATGGTTCTTGTCTTCTTTCAGAAATGCCTAACTCCAAAAGAGTTTGTCGTATAAAGTTTCTAATTCTTATGGAATCGGTAAAAGTTTGTGGTAGTTTTTCAAAATATTCCTCTTCTGACAATTTGAAAGAAAATGTTGAGGTCTCAAAAGCTCTGCTCAACTTTAGCTTTGAAGTGATTTTAAGTGATCGAGGGACCTGATGTATGTCTTTGAGAAGTAATAATATCCTAATGTGCAAGTTAATGCAAGAAACTGTTTTATAATGTAGAGCAGCATTAATGTCCGATCGTATGACATCAAATTTGTGAATATGCATTGAAAATTTACACAGGAAACTACATAAACAGTTGTTGCTCACTGACTTAACGTGTTAGAGTGCAATTTTACGATCCTACTTCTCATTTACAAATTGGAGGAAACAGTCGTCCCTCATCTATTTTTGGTAATTTTCAGTATAAATTTTCAATGAATCCTCATAAACTTGATATCATACCACTCTATATTGATACTGCTACACATTATGAATCAGTTTTTCACATTAATTTAATTTCATATTAATTTCGCACAATACAATAATCATTGTTTCTCAAACACACAAACTGTGTAGCAGCACAACATGGTGGCGGACCTTTTCCCTTGATCACTTGGAATCACCATAAACGATCCTCTTAGGCACTGAACGATGTTGAGATGCATGTGGGTGGTAAAAAGTGTTTTCTCTGATTTTAATGATGAAACGAAGCATTGAGGGAGAGAATCAAATTTCTTTTCTCAATTTGTTTTTCTCATTCTTGATGCACTCCTCTGAATCTAGGAAATCATCTTCTTTCATACTGAGAAAAAATTTAATAATGGCCGGAGGAAAAAGTTTAAAAAGAGAAGTTGGTTGAAAATTATATAAAATTTTTAATGAGACATGGAAAAGTGTTTTAGATTTAAATACATAATACAAAAACTAAAAAGAAAAGAAAAAGAAAAACAACAAATTATAAAAAATTAGTTACATCACTGTTAATTACAATTACTTAGAAATATATTTACTCTACGCTGTTATACGTATAAAATTAAAGAATATCTGAAATATCTTACAAACATTTCATAAAAATTACAGGATAGTGTAGGAAAAACATTACACTGACTAACTCCATGTACGTGTAGATGTATGGCTGGATACAACAGATTACCTATCTGAGTGACTTCAGGATTTAAAAAAATTTCTAATTTTATTACATACTTCATTGGTATCTTAACACTAGGTACTAAAAGATTTTAAAAATTTTGAACTACAGAATAATTTATTTTCTTGCTTTTCCCATGGCTTAGAACATTATGTTGATTTACATTTCTTGAATAAAACTAGAAAAGATAGCAAAGAAGAGAAGTAACTGGATCGATCATAATAATTCTGAAAGAAACTTCGACTTATTCTTGGCTTTCTCTTAAGATGAGAACAGAGTCAAAGAAGGAAATCTTACTTAAAACTTGTGGAGCAACGTGCTACAAAACAGTTGAATGCAGGTAAGGTGGTGATACATAATAGTAATGAAAGGAAACAAAGCAAAAATTACAGGAAAGAGTAGACATGTTCCATTACTTAAAGAAGGGATAGAGAATGAAAAAGAGTCAATAATATTAGGATGGGTTTTAGGATAAGATGATGGTAATAAAATTTGGTAGAGCATTCTCTTTCAGTTCCGATAAAAAATACTGAAACAATTCATTTTAAAAGTTTTAGACTTTCAGGGCTTTATGGGTTTGCAGAGAGAATCGAATAAGTTTTTGGTTATATTGCGATGAATTGACATGCATCTACAAACTGTGAGGGTTACAGTTCAAGCAAGCATTAGTAGTCCTATCATACATTTGTTCTGTATTAAATGTGTGTAAATCAGCTCATCAACGCTAAAACTGACAAACTGAATTCATTCTGATTAAAGTACGGAGTAAAATTAAATGGGACTGAAAAAATCTCATGAGACTCTTTATGTTTAAAAAAATTGATAGGCTTATAAAAATTGTCTTTTTTTTTCGGAAAAGCTCCATCCCTCATCCTCTACCTTCCTTTTAGAATTGATTTGGGTTAGAGTATTTAGATAATTTTCCTTACAGCATAAATTATTCAGCAAACCCTAGGAAATTAAAAAAATAAAAACGGTCAGATCAATGATTATTCTTTATGACGATGATGCCTATGTAAAGATTTACCAACAGCCATTTCAAATAGCAGAAAATGTGGACCATTATACGATTCTTACCAAGAGAATATAAAGGAAATATGCAAATCAATCAAAAATAAGATTCTATGGATCAAGAGTAAACAATTAGAGAAAAAATGTGAAAAGAGACAAAACAAAGAAAAACTGAGTTCATAAATATAGATCAATCTAAGGTTTTAAAACTCTGGAAGATAGGTAAAATGTAATATTTTCTAATTTTGAAAAAAGAGGACTATATTGGGTTAGCGTACCGCTAGATACTCAAGAAATTTCTTGACTTCAGGAAGACTCCCTACTTTTCCTGAATCATCTCGATTCTGATGCATACATGAAGCTGAGAAATAAATTGAAATTGATAGTTGGAAATCCGAAAATCAACTTTACAATGTTTGAATTTGGTAGATTAAACAGCTAACAAAGCAAAAATACAATGTAAGTGAACAAGAACAGGTATCCTTGGAACATTAAACAGTAGTCCTTTTTGGTCCTTTTGGTAAGGAAACCTTGTACGGTAAGAAATAAAGACTATGAATACAATTGGTAAAAAAAAATAGTGAGCATATTCTAAATACTGGGTATTGAATACTGCCAATTCCTTGGTTTGCTTTGGGACAGAATAGGGAGGCCAACTGTGGGAAAGGAATGGGTCTATTTTTCTTTTGAACATTTTCAAATGCAAGTGTCGATCATGATTGCATTTAATTTGCACATCGATCATGACGCTTTTGGAGACTTGCTCCCTGGTTAGAGGGGGGGGGGGAAGTCTTGTTAAATAAACACGAAAAACACAACTGAGGGGCTTCCCGGGAAAAAGGCCCTTACCAAAGAATCGCATTTCGGACATATACATTGGAAGTTTTCATTATTACTTCCTGGCCACTGACGGTGACTTACATTGGAAAGTGGAGTCTAAGCTTCAATGTGAGTGATCGCCAGTGGCCAGGAAAGTAATTAGGAAAACTTCAAATATATTTTTCTAAACGCAATTTTATACTATAGGCCCTTCTTCCAGGGAGCTCCTCAATTTAGATTGCCTATCTTACTTGAAAACTGTGTGCAGTTCAGTACATTTTATTTTCTAAATCTCCATAATTGAGACCATTCACAGGACAGAGGATCAAAGGACCTCAGGATCAAAAAATTTAAAATTCAGCTATTGGTACAACTGTCAAGAGGGGTGTTGTATGAATTTTGGCACAAACAACCCCATAAAATGTAAAATCAAATCAAGAAGTTATAACAGGTCAAAAAACATTATTACTCGAATGAGCTATTGAAGGTTTTATTCTGCTCAGTTTGGGGCCCAAAATTTTGGGATTAAAGTTTAACTCACCAACCTGTGTTGATACAAAAATGAACTTTCAGCTTATTCTTTGAAATACTAGATAGTAGAAAAATTGCTATTCTCTAAACGTTGCTTCATTTGACTAAGGTCATCTTTCCTGTGGATGGTCACAGCTATGAATTTACACATGCTAGGAAAGAATGTCTTGTAATTTTGAGAAATGTTTGGGAAAAAATTATCAGATCAATGGTTGCGAACTGTTAATTACACAGGGAAAAAGTCTTCATAGTTGTGATACAAATATTCATTGTTCCTAGAAGATCTATGGACTTCATTACAGGCCTTAACACTTGACTTGACATTAACCCTGAAAAATGAGGAAGGGCAAAATTAGATTTAACATTAAAGCAAGGGCAGGAATCCTCTTTGCTGGTGGTTAGAATTGGATTGCGGATTTCATTTTATGTTTGAAATTGCAAGAAAAAAAATTAATTACATGGATATTATTTGTTGTAAAATCTTCTCCTGTGTTAAAGAGGCCAACATGGTTCACATGAAAAATAGGGAGAAAAATATTTACTAGGATACATCCTTGATCGTCTTTATCATAAAAAAAAAAAAATAAGATTAAACCAATTCCTTCTTGTTGTCGAGTTATTTAAGATAATTACATTCACAACTTACATAGAAACAAATTCAAACACAGCCAAAACTAACAAAATTTAATTATAAATTTATAATTTTAATAGAAATATTACAAACATAACCAAGAACAGTAGGATAAGAACAACATAAGTTGAGAATATCATTTTATGTCGATTAACAAAGAATACCTGACAGAACATATGTACTGTGCACATGAACTGCTTGGAGGAAGAAGAAGAGAAAAAGTAAAAATGTATAAATGAAAAGTTTCATGAAAAGGAAAAGCAGGTATGGGGGAAACAGTGATGTTTTTGAAAATTCAATATGACATTAATGAACAAAGTTTTGAAATCAGAATTTTATGCACTATTATCAATCCACATTAACCGTTTCAATACTGTAAAAGATAGCGCAGGGAGGAATTGTGACTTAAAAGCCCTGAAAAGAAAAATACTTCCCTCCCAAGGATAAAAAGTCTTTCAGTTTTGGATAAATTTGACAAGGGAATATGAGAAGAAAAATTCAACATATTCACCGCCTTAATTTCATTTGGTTTTTCACTAAGTCGGAAAAACTAAAATTATTGTTACTTGCATCAAATTAAAATCTTTTGATTTATTAATAAGTTTTTCTAGCCCTTTTTACACTTCACATCAACTTGCAAACTTATTTCCCTGCTTGATTTTACATCAATTAACTCGCAATTAATGTTCCGTCTGGATTTTTTTTCTGATTCAATTTTTAGAATTTTCGAGATTGTAATGTTAGAGAAGTAAGAGAATTAGAAAAAAGTAGAGGAAATAATAGAAATATTTGTTAAATTTAAAACAGAGAGAAAGATAGGAAAGAACTTCGAGCAGAGGCAGACGTAAAGTGCTTCAGCTAGTTGGAATGAAATCAAGACTGCTTCAGACATCAAAGGAACAGAGTGAAAGGTAAAAACTCACATACAAGTGGAGAAGGTGATTTTGTTGCTCAAGAAATAATCTGGGTCTTAAACTTGGTAAGCAAGCGAGATTTTTCCTTTTTATTTACAGGTTTAAAATTGAAATAGAGAGATAACTCCCGAAAGATTTTGTTTCTTTTTCTTTTATTCTTTTTAGGTCAGAATAGTGTGAAATTTTGACCAATGGCACTCTTAAAAATGACTCGAATTGGATTATGTGCTTTAGTCTATCCCACAAAAAATGGCAGCTGAGGGTTACAGTCAGGTGAGCCATCCTGCCTATTATTTAAGGGTTGACTGGTTCTGGCGATCCTGGGTTTTATCAATGAGACAATGAATCTGAGATTTGACACTCATACAATGTACTAAGCCAGACTACGGCTCTGTCTCTCAGCTGGCACTTTTCAAGGCATAGACTACAGGCTGTGAGAAGTATACATGATCCTCTGTTAGAGAAACTTAATAAGTAACTGAAATTAATTGCAAGTTGTATTGTTATGAAATAAATCTTGGGTTTAAAATAACACACCACGTGAGTAAATTAGATACGTGACAAGATGCTATTAAGTTCATGAATCTTTAGAAAAAAAAAATCTGAGCGAGCATTGCTGAAAAGTTATACTTAACGATATGTTGAAATAAACAGGTATTGTGAAGATCCTTCTTTATCCCACATGGGGAAATTATTGAGAGAAACTAGATTTGCTCTGGTGGTAACAAATCCTTTAGTGAAACCTGCTACTTCTGTTTCAATGATACAATATCGAAACTAATATTTTAGGACAAAGAGAAAAGAGGAAAGCTGATCATATGATGCGCATTGCGCATAGGACAAGAAGTAAGTCAGAGGTAATCTCTGTGTAGTCCTTGAACTAAATTATCACTTCAAGCTAAAAGTAAAGATGTTACAAAGATTATGCAGGAGTCGATTTCTTTGTGGTTGCTTTTAGGATCCAGTTGCTCAAATATTGAAATCAGAAGGCATGTTCATGAATCATTAACAACAAACTTACGTAAGAGAAAATGTTTGTCAAAAAATGACGAAAAATACCAATACAATCAAGTGCACGATCAAAATAAAAAGCAACAAGTGTGAGAACAGTGATAGCTTCTTTGAGTGAACTTAAAAGAGAGCTTAAAAAAGTAAAATCCACAGAGTTTTAAAGCACATACATATGTATAGAGCTATGGCACAGAAAATAAATAAGATATTGTATACTCAGAAGGTTACACACAAGTGCTGATTTCTCATTCTAGATTCACTATTTTGCAACTTAGAACAAAATCTTTTGATTTTGAATTTCTGGGAAAAAGGCCTTTGATTTACCCAAAAGTTATTTCAAAATTGATGAGGTACCTATGATAGACATCAAAATGAATATATTCCCAAAAGATTTTTACACAATTAACGATTAAATGGTTCAACCATTAAACACTGACGGAAATTTAACCTTGCTTAAAAATAGAACGGAATATCTTTGAAGGATAGATTTTTACTCTTGGATGCCATCTTGGACAGTCTACAATTAAGGTTCTCAGTCAAATCATGAAAGCTCATTGTGTAATTTAAATTACAAACTGAACCAGAGACTAACTTTACCTTGAAAATCCTTGTTTCATGACATATCAGTGGTTCAACTCCAAAAACACATATCTTGATTTGCGACATTACAGACTTCCTGTTCTAAATTAATTTCTAAATGAGAGAAAGATGAGATTACTTCATTTCTTGAACATTTTTATGATTTTCTTACATTATAAGTCAAGAATATTCTGTGAAAATTGCAAGCAATCGCATTGGCTCTTTGTTCACTGTTAAATTTAAAGAGAAGTAGATACGTATTTTGAAACACTGCAAACCATATATGCAATTTTGCTGTTTCATCGTCTATGTGAAAATTTTAGGATATCACTAGGTATTTAAATAGCCTTCTGCAATATTTTAATTAAAGTGTTATCCATCAGATGATAATACTTGGTTGTGAAGGGAAAATGTCTGAGGTAGCAATCTTAAGTTAATATTGTTGTTTTTTTCGCTTTTTACTGCTAGGCAGATTCAAAACGTGATAATTGAAATGATCAAGTGTAATGAGATTTCAACCAACTCATTAAATCAAACAATAATTGAAAGTAACAGATATCAGGACTAATAACAACCATTCCAATGACAAAAGTTAAATACAAAATCAGTAAACTGGTATTAAAAAATTACGATCTTTTGGATGTGATGCTTTTTGGAGCTAAAATCTTCATCTACACATGTTAAAAAAAGATTGGAGCTGAAAGACTTAAAGCAATTTAAATCATTCTGCATAATTTATAATATCTACTGTGTCGAAATCTTAGAGTACAAAAGAAACATTGGTAGATACTTGTATGACACAAAATAGAATAATTTACACATTCAAAAAAAGAAAGTACGTCTGGATACTTAAATAAGATAATTAAGGAACAGGGTTCAAGCTGAATGAAACACTAAGTGTGAGATAAAAACTTCACATCATTAATGTTTCCTCACAGCAATACAATTTTTTATGGATACGTTTAAATAAAATAAATACTAATAACATTCTTTTAAAAATACTTTACACTTAAAAAATAATAATAATAATAATAATAATAAAAAAATTACAAGTACTAATTCAGTCTAAATTTGGTTCTTAACATGAATACCTACAGATTTTACACAGGGGAGACATAAGGTACATTATAAGGAGATAAAATTTACAATATACAATGATCAATAATTAATTATAAACAGCCATTTAATATACGAATAGCATACATATAAATTTAGGATTCAACTCTTTATTGTTGGAATAATAATTTTCTTTTTCAAATTTCAAAGCTAAAACAATCGTCATTCTGCATCCCATTTCTAAATTACCTCAACCAATACAGCTTTACTGTTTCCGTTACCGATTGCATGGCTGGATCATTTTCATTTCCAGAATGTTCATCGTATCAGATGATTGTATTGGTTAATTTTGAGAGGCTGAAGACTGACTGAGCATCCATTATTATACTTAAACTCCACTGGTGTCAGTTTACACAAATGTCGATTTCTTTGAAAGTAAAGAGTATATAATTGTTTCTGATGTTGTACTTTTTAGTGAGACTCCCAGGTAGATGGATCATCCAATAGTTCTAGTTAAATTTTGATTCAAGATATCTTGTGAGCGGTTGGAAGCAGAGGAGATGATTAAAAATCCATTATGGCGGTTTGATATTTATATTGGTGGCTTAAAACCCAAATTAATAGTACCAATATTCAATCGAAAACACTGCCGTAAGGTACCAATATTCATGATGATTGCTTCCCACACATCTTGCACAAAAGAAAATTATGTCACTCCGAAGAAAAACGAGACTACATTTATAACAATAAATCAAACTTGTGAGTTGCTGTGAGTCACTTGTGATCTACTGTCACGGTAGAAACCACTGACAAAGCACAGAAAGAACGATACTTACATCATTCAATTGTTACCAATTGAGAAAAGCTATAATTAACTGAGGATGCTCAGCACCCTCCCAAGGAGACTTCAATATATTATTAGCAATTAAGGGAACTCATGAATGCGGTACTAGCTATCATTTATACAGTAATGTTATTTTACCAACCATAAAACAAAGTAGAACGTAGAAATAGACAATGAGTTCTAACAAGTATGATAAACTTTACCAGATACCATAACAACAAAATAGATAATGATAATATGCATGTTTATGAATTATGCTGGCATGATACAGATGTATAATGTTTGAAAATTGGAATCAATACAAAGTAAAAATGTAGGAACTGTGCACAAAAATTTGTCAATACCAAGCAGCAGTTTGATAAGGCAAAGGAAACGAAGTAATTTTACAAACAATTAAAAAGAAAGGCTAAAGGTAGTATTGTGATATAAAAGAGATGGAACAGTCGCATTATATTCATTGGGTGAAGTAAGCAATAAATTTCTGAAATGAGGTGATGAGAAGGGCTACTGTTCAAAATGTGCTAATTAACCCTGTATGAGTCAACACTCGACTTGGTACTATCTGTGTCGTCTCGGGGTTGCATTGACAGGAGGTAAAGGAGCACCTTGCTCAGGAGTTTCACTCATTCGATCCAGTTCGGCCATTGCTTCCTGAATAGCATTTTCTAATTGACTGTTCAGTTTCCGACTTCTGAAAAGTAACAAAAATTAGAGTTAGAGGCAACATAATCCATCGCTCTACAAAGACTGCACAAAAGAGAGATTAAAATAGAATTGGCAAAGATTAATCATTTGGTAATTGAAATTGAGGAAAAGACTACTAAGCAGAGAATTATCAACCACATCGAGGAAAATATGTAAGGGGAAAAAGAGAAGAAAAGACCTTCATTTGTCTTGATTGAAGAGTAAACTCACTAAAAAAAACAATGAAGATTCAAAAGAAAAATAAACAGACTAAAGAAGGAAAACACTCAGGTAGATAAAAGCTTCAAGTTATGTATCATTACTTTTTTTGACATATTTAACTTGTTTTCAGGGCATTTAAGGATGAAGGAGGGGAGTGATTATTTACTAGTCTCCCCCTCTCCCTTCATCAAAGACAAAAATTGGAACAATCTTCATCCTTGCTTCAATAAAATTTCTCTTCCAGATTTCAACACATAAATGTTCGTTGGGAACAATCATACTGAAGTTTTTGTCAGTAGCATCCTTTTTATTTAAACTGACTGGGTGATACGTGAGTATGACCGAGATAAGCTTCTTCACTTAGCTTGTACTCACATCCAACATTTCCAAAATTCAAGGCTTTGCAACAAAAGCTGGAACTAGTAATCAAGTTATAACTGACGGTCATCCACTTTGGAGTTTCTCCAAATTTTGGAACCAGGTTTGGCACAAACCCTTCATCCTTCATATTGGCTTCCATAATCTCAACCAAGCAAGCATAATGTCTTCTTTGGTATTCAGCTTAACACAGAGATTAACAATTCCACAATAACTCACTTTCTGAACTTTTTACAGGCGCGATGATGAGCTTCAAGTCCTTCGGAGAGTGTTTTTAAGGTTTTCGGTTCAACTTCAGACAGTTGAGCCGAGTTAGGTCCACCAAACCATCGAACCCAAACTCGACCTGGAGTTGGTGCAGGCCCAACTAATTTGCCGGGCCACGAAGGAAATCCACGAGCAGCACCCCACACCAAATCTCCTTCCGACAACCCAAGAAGTTTTGTTTCTCCTTCAACTTCCAACTCTGATGTTGAGTCTGCATCTGAATCTAGATTCATCAATCAATCACAAATTCCCAACAACTCATTTTAATTTTTAATGATTCTAATAATACTTAATACTATAGCCTGAGAAACCTTAAATCTCCAACGTTTTCTGCATTCATTGGATGAGACGAATAACTGATATTTTTATAGCTATTGAAAGTGATACAATGCAAAAAAGAGACCTCGAGCGCTGGATGTTGAAATTGATCATGGGGTACATAACGTTTGACGAGGAGAGAAAAATACTCTTAAATTTCCACAGTTTAGGATAGGGAGGTGAGGTGGGGGAGGGCATTAAAAAATATTTCCCTCCACACTAAGAGCATGAAAAATGTTTGGAATTGTTCATACATGTGACCAGAAAAGGTCTTACGGAAAGATGTGAAAGAGAAGGGGGAAGGAGCGGGTTGCATAAGAGTGGATGTAAAACTCAAAATCGCTCTAAGGTTAATTATCTTCATTTTCCTGAAAATTTTGCTTTAGAAGTTAAAGATCTCTTTTCACACATTGCATCACTTAATCTATTATCAATTTAGAAATATAATTCTATAATATAGTATACAATATTCTATACATGTCTTACAAAATGTCCCACATTTTTCTCAGTTGCAAGTTAGTCGTTTCCTGACGAGTCATGCAAGTTAGTAGTATCTAAGTGTTATTTAAACCCTAGAGATTCTTGACAAAACAGTTTACAGTCTCAAAATCAGCTTAATAACTTTAATCAATAATACAAACTGCATGATCAGTCAGCAAAAAAGCTAACTTCTATCTACAGAAAATACAGAACAGAAAAGCTAAAAAATAAAATAAAAAATAAATTGAACTTGAAAATCGATATGGTGAATAAATGTTTAATGAGATGAAAAAACCAATGATATAGAACAAAATATGGATAAAAATCATGAAAAAATATTTTTTAACACTTTAACGATGGCATGACATGCTGCAACGCACATATCTGACACTCTCTATCCAAGTATTAGTAAATTTCCAATGATACAACAAAACTGTTCTCAAATGACTTATTTGACTTATCAACTTATTTAAGTTTTAATTGCAATACGACTTTTGAGCATTGTGAGATCATCTCTCGAGATATTGCATTTCAACAACATGTCAAGCCTTCTTACTGTTCAACACATAGCAAACAAGAGAATAAAAAATGAAATGGTGTCGTTAATGTGTTAATAATATTGTACAAAGAAAAAAAAAACAAAAAAAATCTCAGATTTATGATGCAATTATGGCACAGGAAAGCAGCCGAGTGCATGTATTTTCATGTGCACCTGATTTAGAGACCATGCCAAATAAGTTTGCGCACTTTTAGACGACAAAAGAAGATTCATCATCTTGATTCTTGCATTTACTTTATTAAACTGATGTCACACCATCTTCTTTCGTAGTCTAAAAAACCGAGAGCACATTTGGCGTGGATTTTACTGCTGTATAATTTTGAAAATGTGGTGATACGACAAGACAAATAAGGCAAAATAATTCATTGTGGCCCTTGAGACACCAAGAAACTTTTTTTTTTTTTTTTTTTTTTTTTTTTTTTAAATAAACCAATTATTTATACCAAGAAACTAATGAAGTTGTTGGCCAACACTTCATCTATGTTAAATAAAATTAAAATAAGAATTGGACAGGCGGTGTGATCCTTAAACATGCATTCTATTGATGATTGAGTATTAGTTTTAAAACACTAGAGCATGTTCTAGTCTACCCACTCATATTTTAACCTTTGTTTACAATATCATTATCCCTCACAATCGGAGAAATATAAAAAAATGTATATGTTTCATTTGTCAGACATGAATTACTTTGCTCTAATTTGAGAATACATTCATCTTCCACATTTTGAAAGGGCAACTGAAGATGTTTTTCAGGAGGTATTGCAGCACACTTGGAAATGCACCTTTGGCCAACAACATGGAATCAGTGTGGAACAAAAAGACTAGGGGTGCTTTATAAGTAATACTGATGAAATAATAAGTAAATAAAAAAAAAAAATAACAATGACGGTAAACATGAATATACAGAAACACTGCAGATTTGATCTTGCGCATGATGAGAATCATTAAATTATACGTATTATTTTCTGTAGTTAAATACACTTACGTTTCTGATTGACTCATTTTATTCTAACAAGCTGCGCATCTAACCTGACTTGAAATGTAATGGGAATTATTTCCACATCTTAATTTTCTTTGACTCTTGAAAAAAAAAGTCCAGGGGCTTAAATAACAAATTGTGTCTCAAAGAATGCCAATTTATTATGTATATATACGGGGTGGTTAAGACAAACCGTGCCAAGCCTTTTTTTGTGTGGTTAATCTAGGTCGTACGAAGTCCAGGATCGCGGGACAAGTAGGGAATCAACCTCAAGAAATCTAAATTGCATGGTCCTAGGGCTCCCTCAGCGCCCTTTGGGGAATAAAAGGGGGGTCTGTACTTCAAAACTCATCATCAGGGGATCCTGTACATGTAAATTCAACCAGGGTAAGGGTTTCCCTGTTCCTCATCAAAGAAGACTCTGGGGACAACGGGACCCTCAGATTCGGATTTAAGGGGTCGATTGCCGACAAAAACGTATTTTTCTGAGTCTTTACGCCAATTCAGCGAACTTGCAATTTTTTAACAGGGAGTCTGTCCCCCACCTTTAGGGATTGGTATTTTGGACACAAACGGGCCAATTTTGATTAACGATTAACGGCGTTGATTAACGTAATATTTTTTCGTAATTTCTGATTCCGATGAAATAATTTCAAAATTTTGACATAAACCCTGACTTTTGAAGTACAAGCTTCTCTTTCACTCCCCATGGGACGCTGAGGGGGCTCTAGGATCATAAAACTTTGATTCCTTGGGGTCGATTCCCAAGATGTCCTCTGGATCCTGGACTTCGTACAACCTAAATTAACCACAAAAAAGGCCTGGTACGGTGGGTCTGGGCAACCCTGTACACTATGCCATCCTCCTTCACAGAGAATACGAAGCCTTTTAAGCTGAACACGAATGGTATGAAGTGCGTGTATTAATTTTTCTGCCGTAGGTCTTTATCAAGATAGTTGATGATGCAAGCAGGACAGAAAAGCAATGGAAACATATTTACAGCATGATCTGGCTTTTTTTTCCGATATATTTTACATCATTGAAAAAAAGAGAAAGAGCAGAGAAAAAACTGTACTTATACTATTTGAGCTGGTGGCAGCTATTTGAGAATTAGATGATAATTTTTACTCAATGGAGCCTGTAACAGCTATTTTAGAATTAGATGATAGTTTTAACTCAAAAATAACAAGACAAAAAAAGGAGGAAAAAAAATTTGGGAACAAATAATGCAACTCATTCTCATCAAGCTGCTGGTTAGGTTTGATACATCTTGGGCTCATATCCCTAATTATTCCACATATTTCAAATCCCGTACTAGGTATGGTTCACCAAACCAACTATCTGCCTAGAGCTCCATTTCTGTTAAACGTTAAAACGAAAATACGATTAGCAAAATTAATTTAGAAAAGTAATTCGCTCAAAGTTTCAATGGATACTATGCGTGTATGTAAGGATTGCCTTTTCCTGTCTCTACCCTCCCTCTTTCTCTTTTGCTCCTTGGGTCAATTTATGTTATGAGAATTAGCAAGGATATTAACTGCACAAGTTCAGCCCAAAAAAAAAACCGTCATAGTAACATTTTAATTTCTATTTGACAATCAAAGAAACAGCGTAACAAAAAAACAAGATAAGCATCAGTTTTATGAACAGTAATCATAACAGAACAGCTATTCTATGAATTCATTTTTCATCAAAACATTCAGTTTGTCTCTCGTTGATTTTATGGTGCAACTGATTTGAAAAATATTTTTCAAAAAAAGAGCTTGCCATTCAGGATTAGTTGGAAAAGAAAAGTAAATCTGCCTTAAGGGTTAATAAGAGGTACAGTAAGGTTTAATAAAATTAAAAAATATGACAAAATAATAGTGAAAAAAAAACAAGGGGAGGCACACTTGTGTTGTTAATTTGAAGTTAAGAGTACAAGTTAGTTTTCATACTCGCATTTTTAAACAAGGGCTCTTTGATCATGAGGACTAAGGTTCGATTCCCAGCTAAGTAAACTGAGTTTCATGGTCTTAAATATCAGTTGGCTGCGTCTGATGTTCAGTAGGGGCTGAAGAGATAATGAAGCTCTAAGCACATGGTTATCCCTTCCAGGATATTTAAGGGGTTGGATATATTTTTTTTTTTTTAAAACCAGTTAATTTGGTCAGTAATTCTTTACTTTCGATTTCTTCAGATTAAGCTGAATGAACAAACATGTTTAATACTTTGATGAAAACTGAAACCATGACAATAAAATTAATAAAATATAAAAAACAAGCTAGAGTTGTTTAGGAATGTGATTTTGCAAAATAAAAGCTATGATTTGATTGCAGATGCAGACATCAATTTAAGCAAACCGAACACCGTGGAATTGTTATCGAGTAGTTAAGCGATGAAAATACCAAACATGCAATTGTCTAGTTGACATAGAAAACTTAAGCTCGGGGATCATGAACCTTCATAGGAAAATAACATTGCAATTTCCAAGGTAATGAACCCAGATAAAGACGTTTCAGAATTGCTTGAGCACAAGGTGGGAGCAGAGGTTAAGCTAACAAAAAAGCAACTCAACAGGTCACAAATTTTGTTAGAGGAACACGAAAAAGTCTTTGAATTTTGAGATACAAGTCAGTTAGACTGCCATATTACGTTTGGAGTTAGAATTTTCTTAAACGCAACAGGCTTTGTCTAGTGAAATCCCCCAAAATTGGAACATAGTAAATGGTGTACAAATTGATCAAGTCAGTTTTAATGGAGAAGTTTTCAGGGTTGTGACGGAATTTAAAAAATAAATTTCCCTGACATTTCCATGATTTTCCTGACACATTTAAGCAAAATTTCCTGACAATTGAAGATATACTAGATGGTTAAAAAGACATAATTTGAAATAGATATCAGGCAAAATTTGTTTTTCGAAACCTTCAACACATTCTAGAAAGCAAATAAAGGTGACTTAACAATTATTCTCTGACCCTTCCGCCATTTTCCCTGACTGCAGCAACCCTGTTAAAATCGATTAAAACAGTTCAAATGCAAAAACTGCATTTTTTTTGTGCAAGATCCGTTTCTCCCATTTGGGTCAGTTAAAGTTTCCATTAAAAAAAATGGCTCCTACAGGAAGGTGTAGGCTTCACAAAGGAGGTTCAAATTTTAAGGTACTCTGCCTGGATCCTTAGACATACAAAAACAATTGTAGAGCATGACTTCTCAAATATTTGTGTTTTTAGAACATCCCTGGTGAACATGTACACTACTCTAATTACTAAACAGTTGCTAACTGTTTCCTTTGCCCACTTGGATTACCTGAGTTTTCTTAGTCCCTAGACACCTTTTGGTAGGATTTGCTGTACGTATTTTGTTTTAAATAGTGCATAATTTTGAGGCAAAAGCATACTTTTCATCCACAAGGGTACCCGGCAATGATTGACCTTTGCAAGGAGACTGTATGAAAATAAATGAACCAAGCCACATTGGGTTAAGACTGACAAATGAAAGGCGGAAATTCAAAACATGGTAAACGCCATCAGCTGTTGCTAAGATTTCGGCAACTGTTGATCTCATTTACCAGGAATCTACCCGTTTAAAAATAAAAATTCTTGTGTGGCAAATGAGGGCAAAATTTAATGAAAATCCCCCTTTAAAAGTCCACAGAGCAAAGGCATTTAGGTTCTTTCGCAGTGAAGAGCACCATGCACAATCCTAGCAACACCTTAAGGCGCAAATCATGTTTTGAAAATCCACTTTCATCCATAAAATTGCTTTTTGGCATGAGGAACCTGTTAATTTCATATCGATGGCAAAAGTGAAAAACAACGTATCTCCATTTGAATTCTCCAAAATTTCTGCTCCTACTTCATTTGTTTGAAGAGACTTTGAATTTTGAAATTTTTACAGAATATTCTGCTAACTGAGAAGAGAAATTACAGAAGTTTTCACGAAGTCTGCAACGTTGCAAGCAGAGATGCATAGTTTTGCACTTTGCCTATCCATGTGTTGTTTCTAATATGAGCCAGAAATAAAAATTCCTCATTGCAGAATAAAGCCCAATTGAAATATTAATTCTCAACTTTGAATTTTTGACATCAAAGCTTGTTTATTCCAAAATGTGGCACGATTCCTTACTGCTTAACACAGTCCAAATAAACAACTAACCAGGATTATATTATCATGCACAGTCACTATTCATGCTTGAACCTGTCCAGTTCAATTTGATATTAATGCACATAATCAAAACTGAAGTTGTGAATGCTTGTTTGGTCCCTTCTTTTGACTCAAAAATAACAAATAAATTAAAGGGTATTTCATGTACAAAGGAGCAGGATTTCATGCTAGAAAAATCTGAGAAATGAAAAGAGGATATCTATATCATAAAATCTAATGACATCTGTATTCAACAAGTTTTTTTTATTGCATTTCCGAAGTTTCAGTTGTGGTCTAGATACTTCAAATTTTTTATCTCCTATTATGTTCTCAGTTTCCTAAACTCTGTACAGTCCTCAAAAATATAATACTTAAGTAAATGAGTATTAATGTATCGATCAGTCAATAATATCAACGAAATATATAAAAACTGTTCTTATCCTCTCCATTCTGGAGTCTCAAGTATTGCTAATGGGGCAACAGCAAGCTATTTGCCACTGCAGCATACTCTGGAGTAACTTTGCGACAGACTTAAAATTATCAATATTTACACAAGGGAAAATGAAGTATGAAATTGATTTCAAGAGAAAGCGATAAAAAAGAAAAAATTTAGAAAAACCAACTTGAGCAATTAAAGGATTATGTTTAATTACCACGGTTATTCAAGAGACAGAAACTACCGATATGAGAAAATCTCACAAATTTCCATCGATTAGATAGGAAAATTAACCTAGCAGAACATAAATCTGAGGTCACTAATGAACAATGGAATTCAAATCATAATTGAAAAAATGTATGAAGTGACTCACCATTGTTGCCTTCATCAGCCGTCATTGTGGACACTCGGTGATCCATTGAAGATGGATTCTGCTGAAGATTTGTGATTTTCCTTTCAAACATGTAATTACGGGTGTTCTGAAAGAAAAAATACTCAGATGAGTTTCAGATTTTCTGTTCTAATGGGTTGGTAACTTTCATTTTCTTAAAGTACGGAATGAACTGAGCTTTTGGGGATTTTAGGAATTATTTTAAACCCGAAATGGCAAAGAAACTCCGCTTTGAAAATGCCAAGAATGGAAACAGTTTAAAACGGTATTTTTGGCAGGCTCTGATGACACGGCCAGAAAGGGGAAACAGCATTTGCTGATTGGCCGAGCTCAGCTTAATGCTTCGCCTTGCCCTTGCTATGTCAACTCAAATGAAGGCTTTTGATTAGCTTTTTCTCATCTTAAAAGTGCTGTTATCAACTTTTCAATAAGCTTTTTGGTTTTCACACGAAATTTTACATAACAGAGACCACTTTACAGTCCTTGGAAAATTCCTTGCCTCTGCCCTATTTCATACTGAGTTTCATTCTTTGGATTTCTTAATTATCAGTTCACACTGTCTTTCTTTTCGAGGTATCAATAAAACATTCCTCACATCCAAACTCTCTTAATATAAATCAACTGGAAATTGCTAAGAGCTTTGAAAACAATATGTCATTGGAATTGAAACTTGCAAATAAGTGGGAGAAGGGAAGGTATAAGATTCAGAGGTTTTCAACAAAAATGTTAACACTATCTCAGATGAAGAAAACACTGGATGAAATGGGCTCAATTAAAGGACATTCAGGAGAAATTCGAATCATGAAAATTTCCACTGGAAGGGATGAAAATAAAATAAAATACGACAAATCACTTACATTCTTTGATGAATGGTGGGATGAGATGCTATCGTAACTTTGAACGGGACTAGTGGAACTAGAAGACTCTACATGTGCACTGTTGATAGGGCTTTTCTCACTACCTAGACCTGTGAAAAAAATGTACAGATAAGACATTTGGCACTAGTAAAAATTCTATATCAACAATGAAAGAAGAAAACTTGTAGAATTTCAGTTTAAAACTTTGCATACTTTCCAATAAATTTAACTTCAGGAAAAGAAAGCTAACTGTTTTCATTCCTAAAATTTCAGACTTTTTCTCATCTCACCCGAAAATTTCTCTGACATTTTTATGCAAAATATTTGTTGATTTCATTTTAAAAACAAGCAGTGAACTCCAACACAATGTGTTGATAAGGCGCGTCATTAACTCGCACATATCAACCCCTTTAGTTTTCATTTACAGAGATTTCAAAATAGGCAAGTAGCACAACAAGAGAATTCATACTATCCAACTCTTCGACGACGCACTTTGACGAGACCGTGTATTGTGAATGTAGAAAGCCATTCGAACGAGTTTAAGTTTTTTGATCTGCCCCCAGCAATATCTTATCAGATTCTTAAAGAAAAGTGCTACGGAATAATTTAAGCGAAGAAAGGAAAATTTTTGTCGAACTCCTGAAAGATACAGTCGATTTAAAGGTATTTTTGGGGCTAAAATATCCAAATCACCGGTACCTATTATAAATCCCGATATATTATTGAAAAGAAATTGACTCGATATAAATGTAATTGCATTAAATATGTCTTGATTTTGTTATTTTAAACGTATTTTCATGCAAAGAAGTTCAACCATGTCCATGTTTTATTCATTCATTAATTGAAAGTAAGCAGTCTACATCCCGAAAATCTACCGATTTGCCGTAAAAAATTGCAGAAACTTGATATACCAGGTCGATGCACTCACTCGTTGAATTTACCAACCAATTTCGTGGGTGCAAATATATAAAAATCAATATGCTATAGTCATTTGGGGTGCATTTATTTTTCATGAAACAATAATAATTTCCATCCCGAAAAACCATCAATTTTCCGTATGAAATCGAAAAAATCGAGATGTGTCGACTCCCTGACGTGAAAATTAGATTCTACGTGTAAAAATACTTACACATGGATATGCTGAACAGAAACCATGTGTGGACACAGTTAGGATACATAGCCCCAGAATACTTTTAAAGCGCCTTTACTTTGCAGAATCTTGACGGAATTTTTTTTTGGCTTAAACGACTCAAGAGACACTGTAGTTAAAAAATATAAAGAGTTTTCGATTTTGACACAAAATAAAATGTTCGTTCAGGCACACCATGTATTGTATGGTGTATTGCGCTGGTATTCAATCCTTGCCTTCAGATCAAAATTCTTACAAGGAAGCCCCTTGCAAGTGGCGAATTTTTTGTAATTTCTCCCAATTTTTTCTCCGTTATATAGTTGAATTGCTTGCCAAATTCTGAGGTCAATTATATTTAATTGTAAGTTATACATTTCTTTTTTCCCCTTCATTTTATTTTTTGTTTGGAGATGTTTCGTTGATTTCTTCGGATTTCGAATACTGTAACTTCTCTTCTATTCGGCCGATTTTTATGAATGAGACCTCTTTCAATTCGTCCTTGAACGGAGAGTAAGGAAAAAATAGCTAAGTACTCGCGAAACAATTTTTTCGAAAATTTGATGGATCCCAGTGTGACGGTGAAATGGGTAATCGAGTGAAAGTAATTAGGTCTGACTGTGACGAGGACCGCGAGGGTCGCCTTTTGTTCTTCAGCTGGGAAGCGACGCGGCGAACCGAGCCAGGACCGGGACACTACCTGGGTTTTGTGCCTGCCTGTGCACTGTTTTGGCCTGATAGGGGAGTGAATTTCTGTATGGGCCACGGTTAGCACATGGTCTAATGAGTCTCGAGGCTCATCACAGATTGCACTTAGCACTATCCTGCTGGCCCCGGCTATCAGAGCAAGGAGTACCAAATTTTGAAAATCATAACAGGGTTGTGGAGATCTGTCAAAGCAACGTTTTAAACAAAACGAAGAAGTGAAATTCTCATTCAACGAGTGCCGACCTGATCAGCCATCCTCGAATCAGTTCGCTTGCTTCTGCTTATATATGCATATTTTAAATCAGCGCGCCCCATTCTAAGGTTTTTTAAAAAAAAACCAAGTAACGCAGACTCTTGGTATTCATTACACATAAACTAGAGAGCCCCAGAATGAGAAACAACTTTAAATCATAATTATTGACGGATAAATAAACTTTTTACACGCTTTGGAAAATCTCAGAAGTTCGCGGTAGTCACTTTTCGGTAAGGAACTAAGGGACTCGGTTATTGTATCGAGTGGGGGGTCGAAACGATCGCAAAGGCGGTATACTACGTATACGCGCCAAAACAAAGTGACACCAGGAATTTGAAAAGATTACGATCAAAGGACAGAGGCAGTTTTGCTGTAGACATTCAGAACTTTCATGATTCTTTTTTTAAAGAGGTTTGAAGACTGATTAAGACCGATATTAAATGTGGGATCAGATGCTTGATAGGTATTAATATCTTTCCACTGGTAAAATTGAGAGGGGTTTTGATGTCTTTTTATAAGGCTCTAAACAGGAATAAAGAGATATCTATCGAATAATAACAAATCTCTTTGCGAAAAATCGAAATTTCCGATACATAGACGAACTACAAAACTATTCTGAGTTCAACTATTTCTCTCCAATTCATTTTGCTCTACACAACAGAATAAATAATTGGTACGTTGTTACAGATAATCTAGGTGCACAGCAAAAAAATTACGTTAAGTTACTTACCTCTGCTGAACCTATGTTCTTGGCTGGATGCTGTGGAGCTTGGGGCAGCAGACAGAAAAAGGGTGTTTAAATTGTTTAAATACTTGTTCTCGGTCCAAGTTTGGTTATTAGCCGAGCTATCAGACCAGTCAGATGGGATTTCTTGCTCATTACTGGAGGAAACATAGTGCACCATTGGTTGAGTTTGATAATTTTTGCTATCAGACAAGGAGGTAGGAATAGTTGTTGATGTTGGAGACAGATTATTTTCATCAAGGCTGCCAATATTCACAGAGCTGGATGGTGTCTCTGGTTTCCCTGATGTGGATCCTGGACTAGGAGCTGTGTTGCTGTCAATAGGGCTATGCGTCGTTGTATCAGGAGGGCTCACAGAATAAAATGGAGTGCTGGATGTTTGAGAAAATGTGTTATTGGTTGCAACCACTAAATTTGTTGATACATTTGATGATGAATTTTGTTGGTTGATAGTGTTAGTTGATGCTGTTTGCGTTGAAACCGACTGTTTCAAGAAATTATTTTGCTGCTGTCTTTTGGGGTCCAAGATAATGTTATTTTGTCCAGTTCCTGCATTCAAAATTATCTTATTTTGGGACGAAAGTTTATCTGAATGACTTGATGTTGAGCTAAGAAGGAAATTCCCACAAACTGATTTATCATCATCCGGAGCAGCATTGCTAATGATGAAGCTGGGTTGGCTTTGAGATGCCCCTGGCTTGTCATTCACATTTGATTGATGGATTATATAATGAGTGCTCTTATCACTTGCAGTTTTGGGACTTAAAATGAAGGATGAGTTGTTTTTATCTGTTGTTATAATGACAGGATTTCCATGATTCGATTTTCCTTGATCACTGTGTAAAATTTGAAGATTTTGCTGATTCAAATTTGATGCCTGGTTTTGTTGATTTTCTAAAACATTTTGTTGATTGTTATTTGAAACCATTGTCATTTGTTGCTGAACTATGGTAGTGTTTCTTTGAACAACGGTTGTGTTTTGAGGTGAGCACTGTTGAGGGGTGATGGAACAAGGAACCATCAGAGTAGGTGTTCTTGGTCCAGAGGTGATACATTGAATGAACTCTTGTCGTTGGTTACAATTATTTCCATTAGGCGATGCAAACGAATGGCTAGGGCTTACACTGGCTACAATTGGGCTGAGCTGACCAGCAAAAGCATTGTTGGAACCTCCGCCTACAATGAACTGATTAGGAGAATTAGTCGCAATTAATTGCCCATTAGGGGTAGTTTGGATTTGGAGTTTGCCAGAGGAAGTTTGGACGGTAGGAGCCCTCAACACCATGCCTGCAGGACTTGCTGCCAAGATGTTTTGAGAGTTATTAAATACAGCACCTGTATGATTCTGTACAGGAGTTAGAACGTTCAGATGCAAACCATCTTGTAGAAGAGTCGCAGTGCCATCACTCGCAGTCATTACCATACCACCAAGAGCGGTAGGGACAATGAACTGTTGAATTGTTGGAAAGTTAGGCACTAGGTTCAAAGGCTGTAATACATTGGCTGTCGCAATCATAGGCTGCCCATTTGTGAACTGACCATTTTTGTTGGGAAGAATAAGAGTCTGAAGCATGGGTGCTGTTTGTTGAGTGGAGAAACTAGGCTGTGGTTGGGCTTGCTGAACTGTCATCATACTACCTGGTATGTTACCAATTTGACTACCTGGTGGGTTTTGTTGAGACGCAATCTGAAGCATGGATGCAACAGTAGGAGCAGCAACTTTTCTTTTCTTGTTTAGATTCTTTCTTTTATTGTTCAAACTATCAGGGGATAGTAAAGTATGCTGTCGCGGAGAGAATTGTCCATTGTTGGATCTACATTCATCAATCAATTGATTTGCCTGCAGAACATTGTTCGTTGCTACTGTTAACTGCGGTATCTGTACTGCATTGACTGTTCCATCAACATTGATCAACCCTTGCTGAAACAGTAGAGGCGAGAAGTTATTAACCAAAACGGTGGGCTGGTTTAGAACCTGTTGTGATCCCACATTTAATGGTAAAACTTGTGTTATCGAACTGTTAGCTTGAGAGACTATTGAAGGAACTTGATTTGACGGCTGATGGGCTTTAGGTAAATTCTGATTGCTAGAGCTTGCAACGATAAAATGACCGTTACTTGAAACTAATATATGACTAGTTGGTTGAGTTTGCATTTTTGTCTCATTAGAGTTTGAATTTTGTGATGTAGAGGAAGGAATTTGAATACTGCTAACAACACTTTGTACCATTTCAAGAGGAGATTTGGTAGCGGCTGTCACAGAAGGACAAGATGTAGCAGTCATAGTGGTTGTAAAGTTTGTTGTGATTATGGAGGGAATAACAGGCGAAGAGTTAGATGCTGGGGCATTAATGGAAACAGTTGCAGTATTAGTGCGACCCGCAAGAACAGAAGTTATCGTGTTGCTACTGACGGTATGACCACTTGCCATAGTTGTGACTACGGTAGGTAACCTACTACCAGTAGGCCTAGAGTTTTCTTCTTTAGTATCTGATTCATTTTTAGCATCTTTGGTTTCTACATTAGGCACAAGAGGGAGAACAGGGTTTGCATCAGTTACACAACGCTCTGATTGAATTGGAGATTGAATACTGGTGCTAACTGTGCCACCTTGTACTGGGGAGCAAGGATCCAAGGAGTTCTGTAGAGAATTCAAGGTACCACTTGTCCGGATAGATGATGAGGTGACTGGTTGTTGACTCAGTTCATTTGTTGCAGTTGAACTGCGATCACAGCCTACTTGATTACTATTCTGACTTTCTAAGAACTTGCGATTTGAAAGATTAACACTGCTGTCTGGGAAACTGACGAAAGTAGAATCAGAGCCTTGAGAACTCCCAGCATTTTTAGAGCCTGGATTTGTTGCGTTCCTGTTACTGGTCAGTTGCATATTTGGGGTATCACAGTTGAAACTAAGGAGTCCTGTCTGTCGCGAGATTGTGCTATTCAACAACGCTGTTTGCTGTGCAAGGTAACCACTTGGATCATCCATGAAAGATGGTGCAGCTGATGTTGAAGGCGAAAATCTATCCGATATATTGGGAGGCATCGCTTGATGTTGTTGACTGTCAATGACCGGCCTCGGTTTTTTCGCTATCTGCGGATTTGGAGGTGATTTTGTGGGATGTTTCACTAGAGTTGCTTTTTTGAATGTAATATTTTCATCGTTCCATTGAACCTGATTGGCACTCTGTTGCGCTACCTCTAAAGGCGAAGGCTGTACTTGAAGTTGCTGACTAAGAGCATTGATCCTATTCTGCTGCCATGGAGGAATAGACCGCTGCCTGATGCCAGAATTTCCTGGCTGAGATGAGATATTTTGCTCCATGTTATGATTTTGTAATTGCATTACATTGGGATTCGAGTTCTTGGTCAAAGATACAACTGCGTTGACCTGCTGGGATAAGGCGAGGGGATTAGTTAAAGTTATTTGATTTTGATTTGACCCCACTTGATTTTGTATTACATTAATATTAGATAAAGAAATGTTACTGCTACTAGTATTGCCTGCATTGACATTTGGGTTACTACTTAAACTGCGACTCAAATCATTGGTATGTAACATATTAGCATCAGGCGTACTTCGTTGATTATCAACATTATTACTTGGAGCAATAGACTGACAATCATTAGATGAATTAATAGCCACAGCAGCGTTACTTAAACCAACAGAGTTTTGCACCATGATAGGGGAGTTTGGAATTTGATGATTGGCGTAGATTGTAGCAGTGTTCGGAGTGCTGTGGGGGACTGACTCATTCAATGAAATTTGGGAATTTATGGGAGAACCAGTACTACAAGCCGAGTCTTGTTGTATTAGTGAGCTCATTCCAGGACTTTGCAAATCTAATTTTGTGGCCGGAATTTGACTTCCTGAATTATGCAAGGACACCATATTTTGGGATGGATTTTGCGTAATCTGCCGCAACAGACTTGTTTGGTCACTGGACAAATTATTCACATTGAAACTATGCTGGTTCATCATTTGAGTTTGATTCAAACGCTGCTGGACCAGGTTGGCAGCAAGCAGCTGCTGATTCTGAAGAGTACTGGCATTTTGTCTGATAAAATTGTTCTCACTATTCACCAAGTCTACTTGATTGCCACTTTGAGAGGAAAAGCCTGAAGCACTATTCGAACTCAAGACGTTGTGATTTTGAAGTAGCGTTGTGTTATTACCGTTCACCAAATTTTGGTTCTGACTAAGAGACATTAAGTTCTGTTGAGTTAATAACTGATCTTGGCTTGTGATATTCGAGGAAAGGTGACTAAGAGCCTGATTTTGATTATTAGATAGTATTACATTCTGATGATTTTGGTTGGAAGAAATTAAATTCTGCTGAGATCCAACTTGGGATTGATTTAATCCTATTAAATTTTGCTGACTCAGAGACTGATTTGTGTTAACAGCCAATACATTTTGTTGATTTAGGATCTGATTTTGGGCATTCACAGTTATACTTTGTTGGTTCGCCGGATACATGTGAGACGGTAATATTAAATTATGCTGACTACTTGGTTGATTTTGAATGGGTAGCGAGTTATTCTGATTGATTTGTGGTTGACATGAACTGCGATCGACAATATTATGCTGCGCAACGGTCTGATTTTGATTGGGTATCAAAATACTTTGTTGATTCATCTGCTGATTATTCGTTATTAAAGGAGTGTTGACAATGTGTTGACTCTGCAATAATGAGGGATTACAATTCTGGAACTGATTCGACTGGTTTGTTGGGAAAGGACTAGTTCCCACATTTGGCAAGTGATTAATTTCATTTGATATTAGAACAGATGGACTTGAACTTAATTCACTTTTGATGGCCATCGGGTCTTCAGAACTACAAATTTTAGGGTGAGATTTTGCTAATGTTTCAACTGTGTTCATCACCAAGGGTTTGGAACTTGACTCCAAGTTTGGATTCAATTGAGTAGGCTGAATTGGTGATTGAGAAATGGAGCAAGATTCTGATGATGTATTGTTCACATTTTTACTGCCAAGTTCTTCAACTTGCCGCTGTTGAAGTGCCTGATAATTATTACGAATCTGAAATTGTTGCAGAAGTTGTTGCTGTTGTATTTGCTGAAGCTGTAATTTTTGTTGCTGATTTTGCTCTTGAATTTGTTGTTGCTGACTTTGATGTTGTAATTGTTGCTGCAAGTGTTGTTGTAACTGTTGTTGTTGTAATTGCTGTTGTAATTGTTGCTGCTGAAGTTGTTGCTGATGAAGCAGTTGCAATTGCTGTTGGGAGAGTGGAGATTTTACTCCTACTGACACTGGATGGTGCTGATTCTGTGCACAATCAACGACTTGGCTTGAACCTGAGCCCTCTTGATTTGGAAAATCATTGGCTATCCTTTGTAATGCTGAAGACTGTGCACAAGCATTCACACCGATAGGTGTCGGATTAGTGCTACAAAACGATTGGTAAACAGCATTCTGGAATGGTGCATTAGAGTTTGTGTCTTCGTTGATTATCAACTGATTACTAGCTGATTGTTCGCCAGGCCTAATACCAGAAGGACTTGGTGAATTAAATCTAATATATTGTTGAGAGGGGTTCATCACAGGTGCATTTGATTGCTGGTAGTTAATGGGTAACCGATTTAAATTATTTCCAATAATACTATTAGTACTGAGTTGAGCTGAAGCTAATACACTTTCATTCCAGTCCTGAAACAAGAAATCGAATAAAAATTATCTAACCTCATATTAATAAAAAACATACAGGAGAACTAAATTAATTTCAACTGAGGGTGTTGACACTTATGAGGACAGCATGAATTTTATCAATATTTATAGTCACTCATATTGACGTAAACTCATTGCTCAAGATCAAGGGGTGTGGGTGTGCACCAATTTATTTATTCATGATAGATATTGAAATGAATACATCCTCTTCGAATAAGGTTTTTCAGAGTCATCATTATTATCACGAAATTTCGGAGCTAGACTTCGAGTTGCTCTTTACTACCCTTTGCAGAGCTCTGAACCAAAAAATTCTCTTTAAATTTTCAGATTTAGTGGTTTGAAATTTTAGAGGTTCAGAAATCAAAACGTATCGCAAATTTTGAAGACGCAAGAAGTATGATTTACTGCTTGCATTATGTCCCATTACAGACTTTAATCAGAAATTAAAACTTAATACTCATTTTTAGGGAACATGAAGGATTCGTTTCTCAAGTAAATAGAAAAGCAAAATCCATCTCAACCCACATGATTTCTTTTACAAAATGCCCAGAACAAAAAACATTTTTTCACAAAGTGTAGGCATGTTTCAGCTGATAAATCAATAATGTTTAACTAAAAAAGAAAGAGAAAGCAATAATTATGTTCATGAAATGTGAATCATAGGTTCATGCTAAGAACTTAATTTTTTTTATTGGAAGGCAAAATTTCATTCATATCTCCTTTGTAAATTTCGTAAGATCAATTTTTGAGATTGCATTCCTCTTACACATCATGAAAGAATAAAATGTTTTTGTGATTGCTGCATCTTTTAAAACTGAGCAGACGAAGTTCTTTCATGAATGAATCGAATTATGAAGTCGGAGAGAGGGGTAAAACATCTTTCTAGAATTCAATAAGTTCAAGTTGAACTTCTTTATTTACTACGAAACAATCATTTTTTGCGACTGACCTTTCCGTCTACATATTTTCTTAGTAAAAGATAGGGTGTTTTAACATGGATCTGAGGTACATGCAATTGTAAAAAATATCTCGACCAATTCTTACTCTGTCTTACCCACATGGTAGATGGTGAACTAGAAAACAAAGTAAGGCCTTGAGGGACAAACCTGCATTTGATGAGAGCTGGAGCTTTCTTTGGTAAGTCTTTCTCTATCGGCAGAGAGTTGAGCTGAGACATTTCCGCTACCAAAAGACCCAACGCCTGTGCGGCGTTTCTTCCTCCTTAAACCAGCAGCATCTGAAAAGTTAAAAATTCCAAATTGATGAATTCAACATCTTACTTGCCCAATTTTCAATATAATGTTTTGAATTTTTTCATTTGTCGTAAGGATAAAAAAAAAATGATTCAAGTGATCCTCAATCATCTTGATAGGAATCAATAGAAACTACAAACCACCGATCAAAATTAAATAAAAAAAGTCTCTAAAAATTTTAAAAACAAAATAGGTGATTCCTAAGTTTTCGAGAGAATTTGCGTTTTGTGGGAAAGAAGTGTAGCACGTTAGAATGCTCATACGGAGTTTTTCCTCACCACAGCAGAAAAAAAAAGAGACCGCGTTACGATGAAGTGCAGTTATTTCTCCGTCCGCTCGAGGAATGTCTTCGCTCCGAATATCGCTCGGTGAGCGTTAAAATTTTCGTGTTTCACGTGAAAGGCGATATTGTGAGATATTTCAAGATAATTACATTTATTTTAAGGGGCTGAGTATGCAACCCGCAATATTTATCCGAGAATTCAGTGGGGAAACTTTGAATTTTTGACAAAATTTGACTCATACATTATTTTTTTTTCCTAAGCATTTCAAAATTAGGCATTTACTGGTTGAATACGTTTCATGGCTTACTGAGTCTATTCCAGAAGTTTATAACCAATTCACGAAAGTTTCGTAAACTTTCTAAATTTTTTAAAAAAAAATTCGTGAAATTTTAAAGAAATTTTCTGAAAGATTTCCTCTCTGGGTGCTATATGGGGAGCAGGGGAGCGCGAGGCTGATCGTCTGGTGATCAGACCTTAAAGCCACGGTTCCATGAGGTGCAAACGGGAACAAACCAGCATCAAGACAAGTACAACAATTTTTTTCCGGAATTACAGGAATTTTATGATTTGTCTCCTTTCACACTAACTGTGTCCACGAAACAATTTCCTGGAAATACTCCACTAAGGAGTTCGGATCAGAAAAGCATAAATCTTAATGGGATCTCTGATGGCGAAAACAAGTTAGGACCAAAAAGAAACATGTTCCGATAAAAAGAAACAAGCCCATGTTTTCTTCTAGGGAATTTGCGCAATATTATCGACTTCGAATTTGAAATTTCCAGGTTCGGTCACACCGATCCTCACCTTTGGATCGACCAAATTCATCAAACCAAAAAGAGAGTCACAGTTTTTTCCCCAGTTCTCGGAAATAAAGAACAAGCGGGAGAGTTCTAGTACGTTCGTATTAGAAAAGCGCTCAGCGGTATTCTATGTAGGCGCGTTTTGAAGTTCCCCGAAAAAGATGAGCACCGTTGAGATGAAAGAACTGGCGCACCAAAATTTCAACACTCAATTTTGAGAGAAATACACTACCGCTAAAAAAATGAATTATTGAAAAACGAGTATCGTCCTTCGTGCTTTGACACCAGAGACATTAAGTAGAGGTAGGTACCACAGACGAATCTATTCTAAATATGTTAGGTCCCTCACTGCAATTTTGTTGTAGAGCTAGTGTGCCATTTGAACGTATTGCCACCTAAGCCAGTCCACTAGAATTCTTTAAGGTCTTGATAGACGATCAAATTCCCGAACCAATTACCATCAAAGTGTCGGGAGTCATCAGTCTTAAACTCATTAATTTGCTTAATTTTAAAATAAAAACTTGACAGAAATGTTTCCTGAGGCAGGAAATGATGAATGGTGGCACTCCATTTTGATCTTACTTTGAACAAAATAGTGCGGCCCGTCAAAATTTGATGGTAGATGGTGACCATCAGTCATCAGCATGTTCACTTTGATCGGAATTGGTTCGGAATTTGATCGTCTATCCTGGGCTATAGGCAGCTTGAAATCAAAAAGCGCTCCCCATCGGCAGAGCGCTTGAAGATTGACTTGGTGTCCTTTTGATTCTACACAGAGACAAATTCTACAGGTGGAACGACTGCTGCATCGAACATGTGCTTCGAGGGGAACCAGCCTTTTGGCAAAAGTCGTTCGATTTCTCGATGTTTGATCCAGCCAGTTGATGGTTCAACTTAAAATCAGGACTCACGCGGACCGCACGGCTCACTAGGATCCGCAACTTCGCGCTGTGTGCTGCATACCTGTGGAACAAACCAAAGCTTCATGCTCCATGCTCCACGCCGACCCTTTGAACTTTCTACGGCATCTCCGTACGTACCTTGCTCTTGTCGTTTCCAGTTCCACTTCCGAAAGTGGAACGAAGCGCTAGAAACAATGAGCTCGCCCACCACGGTAGGCTTTGGATTGCGGAGTCTCGTGGTTCAAAATTTAAGAGAGGTGTTGATCGTGACCTTAGGAGGAAGGACCGTGGCTGCATTCCCGTGTTGCATATTTGACTCTCACAATGGATCAGTTACGCTGGTCATAGTACCGTGTTTTGATGCTCGATTCTTGTCGATTTGCTAAAAATAATAACGTCCATCTAAACGACAACCGTCTACTTTCAATATTAACAGAGATATTGCGCTGTGAAAAATTCGGATTATGACGTCATCCACCGCGGTAGTGACACCCTTGGTTTACTCCACCTCGCTTTCGTGAGTCAGAGAGGCACATATCGTCACCTTCCGGGCAAAGTATCACAAGCGCCATGGGACGTTTAAAAATTTCCGCCGCCATTTTATTCTTTTACAGAGAAATTGTTCAACGAAGCTGTCCGAAAATTTCACTGAATTTTCTTTGTGCTGCCGATAAAATTTAGTGAAATTTCCAAACAGATTCAACCAACAATTTCTCAGGAAAGAAATAAAATGGCGGCGGAAATTTTTAAACGTCGCATGGCGCTTGTGATACTTTGCCTGGAAGGTGACGATATTTGCACTGGTCACTCGACGTGAAACTCGGATGGAAGCAAAATTGAAGAAACCAAGGTTATCTAGTGACCGCGGTGGATGACGTCATGAACCGAATTTTTCACAGCGCGATATCTCAGTTAATATTGAACGTAGAAAGTTGCTGTTCGGACAGAATTTGTTACTTCGAGCCAATCTACAATAACCAAGCATCGAGACACGATCCGATGACCAGCGCAATTGGCCCATTCAATGTTTGGTCAGGAGTATGACTGCAATTTCTGTCTCAAATTTGTCCAATTTTTCCGCGTCAATGCTGAAGAGAACGTCGTAAAGCTTACCGAAATTTGGTTGTTGTGCGCCAGGTTGAAGCGGGAGAGTGTAAGCCTGCATAGAGGATGAGGACGCTGATGAGGACATAGACTTCCTCTTGTGATTGCACAAATTTGTCAAATCCGACAGGCTACTCGGAAGTACTTTGTACGAAGCCGGCCGACTACAGATCTGAAACAAAAAAAAACATAAAAAATCAAGATCACTCAAGATTACTGTACAAAACACCACTATTACAGGTCTTGCCTCTAACTTGCTTAGTTCTCGATTCATTTTCCCAGTCACTTCAATACATCCATTCTTACATTCATTAATTCGTCCAATAATTCGCTTTTTATTCCGTTCTTGAACATTGAACCATGCACAATGCTAGGCATGAGCGTACAAAGGGGGGTATAGCCCCCCCCCCCCCCCCCCCCCGAAATTCTGGACGGTGGGAAAAACCTTCGTCGAGAATGAGCAATGAGCATGTCTCTTAATGTAGAGTTTTAAAAGAAAACGCCGTGTTTATTCAGTTGGTATTTTCTAAAATTGTCATCATGGAAGCCTCAAAATGGGTCCAAAAAGAGGGAAAATTTCACTCCAGATGTATTGAATGCAACAATTTGAGAGTAGCATGTGCTGAAAGTAAAACAAAAAGCGTAATTATTCTGCAGAAATTAATGGAAAATCTGCATCGTGGAAGCTTCAAAAAGCGTCCGAATAGAGTTAAAATTTCAAAAATATTTCAGACTCCCCTCTGAATTGGGGGGTATTCCATACCTAGGGTAGGGGGCCCAGGCCTCCCTAGCAAAATGACCTCGGTACGCCTATGAAGCCAGGGGAAAATGCAATATAAACATTCGAAAGTTGCAAAATTTTCCCAGATACGCGTCCATTTTTGAGGAATATTGAGAATGTTTTTCGTTAAAATTTTGAGATACTTCACACTAGATGGCAAAGCAAATTCCCTAAGAAATTGATAGGAGCGTTGACTTGTTTCTCCGGAAATTTGTATTCAATCAAAGAATTTTGCCAACGTCCGAAGGTTCGTACAGCGTTTTCCCTTAGTAACAAGGTAGAACACCTCATTTTGATTGGAAGACTTTTTTACTTGAAAATCGAGTACCGGTAACTTTATATGTAAAGGTGCACTGCGATTGATAGTAAATCCGACACATGAACGTCGGCTGAAACGATTAAATTGAGCGACACTGCCTACCCAGCCGTGCTGCGGAAGAACGCCGTATGACCATTCGAAAGTTGCCAAATTTCCTTTGATAAAATGTTTATTCATAGGAAAATAATGAATACTTTTTTCTCGAAATTTTCAGACATTTCAGATCAAATTACAAACAAAATTATGTAAAAAATGGACGTACCCGAGTTGGCTCCCAAACGTCCGAATCGGCTCCCGTTTGAAAAAGGGTCCCCTCCCCTAAGGGTCGAGTTGGCTCCCGTTAGAAAAAGGGTCCCCTCCCCTGAGGGTCGAGGTGGCTCCCGTTTGAAATGAGTGGCGTGTGCGACGCGCCGCGCGTAAAGCGGCGGACACTAGGTGCGAAATGCATGAGATAAGTCTGAGAAATTAAGAGTGCTGAGGAGAAATCAGTTATCAGCAGTAACACTCACGCCCAAACAATGATTAGGTATTCGGCACTGGACGTTGTCACTTTGAAAAGCAACTGATTATTTTCAATGGAGAAAAAACTTGGAATTTTTTCGATGGAAAAAAGTATAAAATTAAAAAAAAAAAAANCGAAAAAATTCCAAGTTTTTTCTCCATTGGGGAGGGGACCCTTTTTCTAACGGGAGCCAACTCGACCCTTAGGGGAGGGGACCCCCTTTTTCAAACGGGAGCCAACTCGACCCACCTAAAAATGGACGGGAGCCAACTCGGCAACTTCCTAAAAAATTGGCAGGAAAATTTTCAAGAATTTTCCTAAAAAATTAGTGATTTGCCAGAGGAAATTTGGCAACTCTCGAGGGTTTATACGGCGTTCTTCCTCAGTACAGCAGTACTGATCTGATCCTCGTGTCGTCGGCCTCATTCGATCAATCATCGCGAGATGACGGTGAAGATGGGGTGAGGGGGAGGGAGAGGGGGGAGGGGGGTTCGTCGCGTCGTGTCAGTCGGGCATCAACCATGCAGAATATCACGAGGGCCCTCATTGAGCTCCATCGACAGTTTGTACTGCACCTTATAATGAACTCCTTCTTTTGTGTTAACCTATTTACATTCAACCAGAGTATGAACGTGCAAAACGAAACGGTTTACATCACGTGCATCGAAAATTGTTCGGCTACCACCATCGCTACCATTAGCGATGAACTGGTACGAGGCGCGTTTCGTCAATGCACTTTACACGGAAAAAAATTAAATGTTGATTTAGCATTTACACTGTTTAAAAAATGTCCGACAAGTTTCAAATGCTGATTTCACAATACAAAAATGCCAACATAACATTTTAATTTGTACGTTTTGCAGTGGGCGTAGTTACGTTAGCATTTGTTAAAATGTAAAATCAGCATTTGAAACTTGTCGGACATATTTTTAACAGTAAGGATGCTAAATCAACATTTAATTTCTTTCCGTGTACAGGAGGTAAAATAACTCGCCTCTGAGGCGGTGCTCCGAGGGCTTTCTGAAGGGAGCGAAAAGGGGACATCAGAGGGTCTTAAAAACGAACTAGGTAGGATAGACTTCTCGGATACCCTAGCAGGGTGACAAGTTTTTCTGAAATTTCTATGATTTTATAGAGGTTTTGAACATGAAATTCCCTGAATTTTCCGGGACTTTTCATTTTGGAATGTTTTTCTGCCATGATTCTCATGAAAATACTAATGTGTTTTTTTTCCAGTGCGAATGCTTCAAACATTGAAAATAAATATACTATGCTTTTGGATTTAACGAAGAAATTCAAGGTTCTGCAGCTAAAGACACCGACTTCCCTGACTTTTCAGTATTGGGCAGTACTCCCTGATTTTTTTAGAACTTGTTTCCCTACCTTGGTTTCATTGGAGAGGAAAACTTCGCCTACAAGGATATGGGGGGGGGGGGGGGCTTCGGAAATATCTAAAAAAAAGAGGCTGTTCGTTTAGGGCAAGGGACGAAAAAACTCGCGTGAATTTCATGAAGTAATAATCGTAGATAGTCGCTTGATACCATAAAGGGTAAAAGGGCCCTCGGACCTCCCCCTCCGATTAAAATTTCTAGCTGCGCTAACGGTAACGTCCGAATGGAATTAAAGCGCGAAGGACTGCGAAGGCTGTTCAAGATCTAAGCGACTCAGGGCGGAACTTCCCTGATTGACCTGGATCACGCGGTTAATGACTGCGGCGGGCGGCGGGCGAGGCGAAGAACACCCGCACCAGCTCTCCGGTCGTCGGGCGGTGCACGCTGGACGCGGCAGTTATTGCACATTAAGCCGCTCTGTTTCATAAATCCCTGGCCGTAATCGGCGATATCTCAGAATGCCCTGCACGTAGCCGTCGCCTGGCACACTGGTCTGGTCTGGGCGCAACCCCGCTTACTCCGTCTTGTAGAATGAAAGATCTAACCGATTTCGACGATTTCATATAGACAGATTTACTGCGGCTGCCGTGGCCGAGGTGAATGGCAAAACCACTTATACGCGCTGAGACCCCTTTTCCACACATCACTGTAACGGCACGACTTCCGTGGGTTTCTTTAGATCACAGAGTACATAGAGTCGTAGTGTGAATGGGAGATCTGGTACCATGTCCTGGACGACGAGTTCCGAGCTTCGGTCACTTCTTCGATACATTTTTTATCCAAAATGGCGATGTAGAATTTTTATCATTTTTTTTTTATTAGTTTTTAGTGAGCTTCCTTATACATGGAAATATACACTTCGTTAGTAAATATAAAATAAGTATGAATATACAAAGAACCCGATGTAGAATATGTGGTGATTCCTATCCTCTTTGTTTACATTGGATGGTAGGGTCCTCTTATATCGCAAACGATCGATTGACGACTATGTATCGACAAAATGACTTAAGGTGACACAGGAGTCTTCGAATTCACCTAGAAAATGCTTAAAAGTGGTCCCAGCTCTCCCACTCACATTACGACTCTATGTACTCTATGCTCAAGATCGAGGTATCGAAATCGTTGTTGCAAGGATGGATGGTTCGGGATTAAAGGAATCCAAAAGCGCCGCTTTAGACAAAAACGGTCAATTTGTTTTTGATTATAACCTGGAATGGACCGAGGCATTGGCACGGCAAGGAGCAAACGGAATGAGAGAAGGAACTGGGATATGAATCCGGGAATGGGTTGATCAAAGATAGCGAAAAACGTTCAATTTGTGTAATATTTATTCCCGTTTGTGACATCCATGAGCCGCGATGTCTTAACTCCCTTCATAGAGAAACGCTAATATCACCGAGGTGGCGCTGAGATTATGCGATGCGGTGAGGTGCGAGGCAGTTGAGCGTTTACAATGGGCAATCAATCTCGCTCAATTGTTCACAGTCCACAGTCAGCGCAAGGCCATCGCTTCTTCGCTTTTCCCACCTTTGGCATCCTCCTCTTTTCTTTCCCATCTACTACACTCACAGCCGCGTACCCGCCGTTTCATTTTACGCCTTGGCTTCGCTTCCTTGAAAATTGTTTTACAAAGATAACTCCACGAGAAGCCGGGCCTCTCTAAAAACTTGCTACTCTAACGAGGCTCCGGCTGGTTGGGCAAAAAATCAACTTCAGGGTGTCTACTAAAACAGGCTGGCCAAAAATAAGTACTTTTACAGTTCTTTTTCCGTACATTCCTAAGAAATTCAGTACCTACCTCCTCAACAGAAAAATTCAGAGCTTTTTCAATACCTTCGACTGATGAAATTCGAAAAATTTCAAAAAGTTGAATTCCCCGCTCAAATTGCGACAAAAATGAAAAAAATGCCGGACTTTCTTGCAAAATTTCCGTACTTTTTCAGTATTTCCGGACCGCCCTGGAAAAATCAGTACTATTTGCGGACTTGTAGACACCCTGAACTTGCAGAGCCTGTGATTGGTTTAACAAGGTAGTGTAATGGTTTGATTTGCCTTAGCACACACGCGCACACATAATTAGCAGCACCATTCATAAGAGCCACTTACAGACCGAGTGGTCAAGCCCGACCTATCATTATGCGTGAGACTTCAAGATTGAAAGAATGGTCTGGTCACTGTC